TGCTGTAATATTTTATTGAACTCATCACATTGTTAATTTTGACCCTGAGAACCTGCAGCTTTCACTGCCTTTAATTCCAATGAGAAAGCTACCACTTCAAGGCTACCCTTATATCTTTTAGTGCCTTTGATGTATGTGTTTCACAATACCAGGAACCAGTGGTCAAATTACATAATTCTTGGCACTATAAATCATCAGCTGTCGTAAGTCAACATAGCTACATTGAAGTCAATGTACTTCAGTAGTAATGGTAACCTGTATCACTGGTGCGGCAATACTTCTTTCTGTGGCAAAACATCGTGCCAACCAGTACAAGCCCTTAGACAACTATGCACCCATACCCAAAAAGGAAGTACTGGAGTTAGCTTTACTAGCCATAAAGGAAGACCAGAGATATACTATGAAATCATTATGCAAGTTTCAATGCTTCTATGAAAGAAACCAAACTCTGTGTTTGAAGGTTAGATCCTCAAAGGGATTCAGATCCCAAACCACCACTATAGGCTCCTAAGTAGGCCCGCCATGCATCTACCACCTAATGTTACCAGGTACTTTAGGGTATATCTAATACTTACAATTGCTGCTGAGTGTTGCCTTCACCTAGCCCAATCCACTTGAACCCCTCCCCCTACTCCTAAATATGTGATGACTTGTGGTCTGTGCCATATCCACTCATACTGTTTCTTAAGTGAAACTCTTCTTACCCTCTTTGTTTTGCTCTAATTATGGCAAAAGAGACAGGAAGTGGGGTCTGGATGTCAGGAACAGGAAGTGGTGGGATGGTAGCTGGTAGATGTCCTGTGTTTGCAGGAAATCACCTGGGGGAGTTTCAAACACTTCAGCTTGAGGGTAAGGTAGGATACAGCTTTGATTTTACATTGTGAAGTTCAGCAGAACGTTTGGGGCCAGGCTGCTCTTAGCTCAACCCTCACCGTGAACAGAATTAGATTGGGCTTGAGATTGCCTTTAAAGGTAACCTAAACTAGCTCTGTAAATGCATCCTGAATGTCTATGAGTAAAGTCCCCTAGATGCCTAAATGCCTGCAAGTGTCTGCATCAAGAAGTGCCATAGGCTTGACATAGTTGAGCAGCACCTGAGCCCTGCTGAGATATGTATTCCCGGCATCCTTCTAACTAGGTTGCCTAAGAACTCAGTCTAACAGGCATTCTCAGGGCAGATTTAGTGAGCTGAGCCTCAAACAAAGCATAGAGGTCACTCTCTTGTACATTTTCCAATTATCAGTGGTTACAGCTGTTACCAAGATGTGGAAGAGACAGATTCAATTCCTCCAGAGGGGACTTGAATCTATCATTTCTTATACCGGGTCTGCCTTCTCCTGTCATGCTCCCTAACCACTAAGACTTACAGTTTGGCAGCTAGAGCATTCGGCTGGGAGGTGGAAGTTGTGAGATTAAATTCCATCAGGCAGTGGAGGGAACAACCTGGGTTTTTCACAGTCCAGTGAATGCTGTAACCACTGGACTATTCAAGTGGTTGTGGCATCATTACTGCCACTTGAGTTTCTGCTTTAAGATAGGGTTAATGGCTGTGAATCTCCAGTGGCGAGACGATCCTAAAATCCTTTGGGCTTTTCATAGATTTCATAGACGTTAGGACTGGAAGGGACCTCGGAAGACCAAGTCCAGCCCCCTGCCCGAGGGGGAGGAAGTCAGCTGGGGTCATAGGATCCCAGCAAGATAAACAAAAAATTTCTCTTGAAGGCACTCAAAGTAGGTGCTTGAACCACCTCTGATGGCAGGCTATTCCAGACCCTGGGGGCTTGGACAGTAAAGAAGTTCTTATGTCCAGCCTGAAACAGTCTTCGAGGAGTTTATAACCGTTTGACCTTGTCCTCCCTTGGGGCGCTCTGGTGAACAAATGTTCCCCCAGATCCTGGTGGACACCCCTTATAAACTTATAGGTGGCCACCAGATCACCCCTTTTCCAGGCTGAAGAGTCCCATAGCTCTCAGCCTCTCATCATGTCTGTTTTCCTGACCTCTGATCATGCACGTGGCTCTCCTCTGCATTCTCTCGAGCTTCTCCACATCCTTTTTGAATTGTGGAGCCCAAAACTGGACACAGTACTCCAGCTGTGGCCTCACCAAAGCCAAGTACACTGGGAGAATGACCTCCTGGGATTTGCTTGAGAAGCATCTATGGATGCAAGCCAGAGTTTTGCTTGCTTTACTAGCCGCAGCATCACATTGAAGGCTCGTGTTCATCTTGTGGTCAAGTGGCTTAAGCCACTATGTCTTTTTTATTGGGTAGGTTAGTTGACCCCATCATTGAGAGTACTGAATGTTGTGAACTCCATTCTTAGATGCCCAACTCTCATCATACATTATATGTGGAGCCTTGAAACCTAACTTGCCATTGTGGATTTACTCTATATGATGAGACACCCAAAAATTAGACTCTGCAACACTGAGCGTTCTGATGCATACGTCCTTTTGTGGCTCTGACTGTTAACCCTCATAAACACAATCCACAGTATCCTACAGCTAAGTCCCATGCATGCTTTAGATCTTGGTGAGTTAACCCCTGCAATTTCTTTCTCTATTTAAATTCTTATCTGGTCTGAGGGCCTGGACAGGTTACGTGTTTACCACAGTATAGGAAAGGACTAGACACCCAGGTAAGTTCAACCAATCCAGTCTAGAATTGTCCCTTAAAGAACTTAAAGAACTAAAACTCCCTGGGTGTGTGTCACACGGACACAGGTGTCTCCTGTTGGCAGCTTCTCCTGCAGCAGTCGTTATCTCTAGGAAAACAGGGTACTGTTTTCTAGGCTTGTGCGAAGCAGCTAGTATTCGCTTTGGATTCAGGCACTTTGGTGATTCGAATCACTGTCCCAAATGCATTTGGCCGAATCTGATTCAGAGATTCGGCTGCTGCTGAATCAGCTGAATCTCTGAAACACACAGGCCCATCCCCCGCCCACTCTCAATGGCTGGCTCTTTCAAAGAAAAAAAAAGCCCCCACTTTTTTTTCCTGCCTGGTGGGGGGCAATCCCCACGGTCCCCCACTACCCCACGCCACATGGCGGGGCTCTGCCATGAGTCCTCCAACCCCCCCACTCCCCTAGCCCCCACACATGGCATGGGGAAGTAGAGGGCAGCAGGGATCACCCCCCTGCCTGGCAGCAACTGGTGAGTGGGGGCTTTTTTTTAAAGAACCAGGAGCTGGGGCCAGGCGGGGCTGGGACAGTGGGCAGGGGTCGGGGCTCTCAGGGGGTCTGGAGGAGCAGGCAGGGGATGGGGCCTGGCAGGGGTCTGCCCCATGGTCCCCTCCCCACTCTTCCAGCCCCCCTCCCCTGCCCCCTACTTACCAGCATGGAGTCCAGGTCCAGCTCCCTGCTGCAGCCAGCAGGGACTGCCCAAATCACTGAAGCACTCTGAATCTTTTCCAAATTGATTCAGAGAGCTTCAAATCAATTCAGACCTTTTAATTGGTCCCCTGACTCAATTTGGATTCAGAGATTCAGCCACTGAATCAGGCTAAATCTCCTCCAAATCAAATCAGCACAGTCCTACTGTTTTCTTCCCTGCCGCCTCATGGTAAGATATGGTAATAGCCACATACTATATGAGCCATTTTGGGATAGGTGCTTGGTTGTCTGCTCCAGAGCTTGGTGATATTTATGTTGGAGTACTGAACTGATTTAAGATACACCGTTATAAAGGTGTTATTTGCCCAGGCCCTCAGTATATACTAGTTAGTCTGTGTTTCCCACATCTACAGTAGATATTTCAGCCTGAATAATATGTGGTTCTTCCCAGCACACACACCGGGGCATAGAACGGACTGCGTTTACTTTCTCTGACATTAGCTGGTGATGAGTTTGTGCTAAAAACACGCCCAGGAAGCACAGAATAGTTTTAGTTCTTGCAAGACCAGATTTCACATAAAAGAACGCGTCTGTCTCGCTGATATAGAAAGCCGGAGGGTTACTTGAAAAACAAGTAGTTTCAAAACCAGGCCATCAAACTCTGCAGCAAAAGCCTCCACAACTCTGTTTCCACATTTTTCTTTCCTTACAATTTCATTGAGAGGATGTCCACGCTGCTGTGATTGCAGCTCATGTAGATACATGAGCTAGCCTTACACTAGACAGCTTAGGTACTCCTAGCAGCATTGACAAGGTAGCATGCAGCTCAATGTTGCCAGACCACTTAAGTATTTACCCAACTTCTTGGGCAGGTTTTGCACTCCACTGAGATCCAAGCTGTCACAGCAACCCTGCCTACAACACCCAAGATATCTTGTTTAAAGGTATGTGGGGTTTGTCTACACAAACAATGACAATCAAATGTGTACTCTCCCCACAGTTTCTCAGAGGTACACTAAACAATTACCTGGGCATTTTATTTCCAAGACCTTCATGAATTTTCAAGTTCCTGAAATTTGCAGAATAGTTCATTGATGCATTAACCCGAAGTAACCTCCATATCAATTTGCCCAGACTGGGCTC